ACGGGTGTTCTACCAGTTGTGGAACACTCTGTATAGTTATATTCTTATTGTTCTAGTTTACAGGGCGTCTCAGACTTCTCTGCAATTTTTGTGGGAACGTAGAACGGATTGAAGTGAACACAAAAGTCTTATACCGTTTTACGATATTTGCAATAACAGTCGAGATATTAATTAAAGAAGATTGGTGAATGATAACGCGCGATATGATAGATGAGCTGTAATGGCGATATATGCTGTTGTATGCTCGTACATTAAGTCAAATTGAATAAAAAAAACTCTCTTTTCCTTTATTATTTTGTAAATAGTAGATTTTTAATTATTACTGAAAAAAAATGTTACATGATTATACGCGATAATGCACAAATCTTCTTTAATTAATATCTAAAAATCATTTGCAAAATGATACAGGACTTTTTTGTTTAGTTTGACCTAATATACAAGTATACAACGGCAGACGGCGTCATTACAGCTCATATTATATCGCGCGTAATTATTCACCAATCTTATCTAATTAATATCTTGACTATTATCGCAAAATGGTATGGGCTTTCACCTCAATCCGTTCTACGTTCCCACAAAAATTGTGGAGGAAAGTCTGGGACACCCTGTATATCCAATTCAAGATTGGATACCCATGCAGAAATGTCTAGTCTATATTGACAGTATAAATATCAATCTCTTTTTTAGTAGAAAAATATTTTTAGTAGAAAAATGTTTACATTATCATCGCGCGAGCACACGATTGCGCGTCTCTCGTACGATTCAATGTCCACATAAATATGCAAATTCGCGACGACCGCGACCGGTCGGCAGCACGGATTCTCTACTTCATCTCCCGACGAATATGCGAACTTTTTCGGACGAACTTTTATGATGACGGCAACAACGACGGGCGATGAGGATGCTGGCAACGGGTCCCCGGTTCGTTTACGAGCGGTTTAGCAGAGAAAATCTCGCGGAAACCCCGTTGACAGAGCCACATGCGGTTGATGCGTGCGTATCCACCGTGGCGACGCCCCATAAACGCTTAACCGCATCCCGCGGATTTAGCCCGAGGCATCCCCTTGCCTGCCTAGAAGCAAGCAGCACGGCTTATGGGAGAACTTTCGTCCAGAAGTGTCCCTCGTATGTGCGGATATCCCTCACTCTCTCATTATTCCAGTCTGCCCGCATTGAGAAAAAAGTGTCTAATATCTGTAACTATAATAGCATAGTGAAAGAATTAAGCCTGACCTCTACAATGTGCTTTTTCTGTTTCTTTTCTTTTATCTCTTTTTGACTTAAGTCTAGAAGAAGAGAGAACAAGAAACACTAAGCAAAGAACACGTTGAAGATCAGGCTTTATGGTCAAGAAAATCATGTTTCTCGTGTTATTTATCAATGATAATAACCTTACATGTATAAGAGAGACTAAGTTTGATTGGTTAAAGAGGTATGCCGGTCATGTGCTTTGGTTATGTACTTATCCTAAGAGAGGAACAGGAAAACAAAATCGTAAAATATTCCTTTTAGGGGAAGAGGGAGACATATATACTTTTTTCCTAAAATTTCATCGGAATAATATCATAAAATTTCAAATCGGAATAATATCAGTTGGGAAATAGAAGAAAATAGGTTTAGGAGCAACCATAAGTATATTTTCGAGCGTCTTAAAATTCAATATTTTTCACCGTGAATAAATAAATTTAAGCGACGTGTTCTTAATTAAAACAAAGCTTCCTGCAACTGTATGATACACTATTTTGGGTAAAAAGGCAATTTTCATTCATAAAATGATGGAAATCGAGCATATTTTACGGACAAAGTAAAGTTGGCCACTATTTAAAGATTGGCAGAGCTATGGAACTTTGTCTTACAAAGATTTCGGAACTATTAATCAGAATATATTGTTGTGTCCGTGCTTCTGATCGATCTTCCGAAAGGCGAGTGCGCGGCGAAGAGCGCAACAATATATCTTATGTGTAGTTTTTTACCTTCTAAATTGATAGCTTTTTATCAAAACTTAACTTAACCCCCTATCAAGACAAGATGACCACGTTGCAGCATATTCATATTTCAATTATTACAGAACAAAATATACGATTTATATAATTGTTGCAGATAAAAGAGCAAGATTATCTTCATCATGTCTCTATAATCAATCGCAACAGTTATTTATCTGAGAAGTTATAACTTCGAAATTCTGAAAAATGTGCCATCTGACCCTGGTCTTCTCTCTTTATGCTGCTATTATTATTTTTAAAAATGAATGTATACAGAAAAAGAAAACATTCTAGTTTTGAAAATATTTTTTTTAAATATAAATCTTAAAAAAAGATTACATAGCGTTAAACAAAGATAAGTTACTTGCAGTAGTACATTTTATTTGATTCAACAAAAATATATATCCTTATTATTAAAAAATAATTTCCATGAATGGAAGACACAAAATATTAAATTGCACGAATATGATGTTTTCAAATGTCGAATAAATATATCATTATCACCAAAATAATCACATATTGTATTTCTTATAAGATTATTATAATATTAAAGTAAAATTAACATATAATATGAAACTCAAGACTTTTTAAATTTTCTAACAAAATTATATATCGTTACTTATATATGAAACAATAATTGTTAATTTGAGTATATTAGTTTTAAGTGGATATTAATCCTTTTTCTGTGTAATTTTAATAAGATTAACTATTTTTTCTTTTAATACATCTGTCTATTCTATTTATTGCTCGCAAAAAATGTCGAATGACATTTATCTATAAGGGTCAAGATCAAACTATCTCTTGATGAACGATCGAAGGAAATGGAAAAAAGAAGTGAATTTGAGAGACGCCGCGAGATGAAACTCGCGAAACGTTCAAAGTGCCAGATAATCCGATAAGGAAGCAATTTACTTCTTATTCGACGTAAAATATGCAGCGACATTTATCCATTCACGACAGCATCGTATAATCTATAACATTTCACCGGCTACCATAGTCACGAATGACTCCGACCTTGCCATTAGTTTCCCTAAAAATCACTCTGTAACGAGTACATCCTTTTCAGAACGAATCTGCGCGAGAGTGTTTCTTGATGAAGGCGGAAATCAAGTGAAACGGAGCGACTCGCTCGCGGACCGACCGGAAGTTAGGTTCACGACGAAGTACCGGAAATCCATTATCCGGACGTAAAAGTTTGGCAAAACGACACAACCCACGGCTTTCTTGCGATTCTCTTTCTTTCTTTGCGACAAAGTAGATCGACAAATGGATCCAACGTCGTAATTAGCGGATCGTAAATCATGTAACGTTTCGCGTAGTTGTGTGACGCGCGCATACTGAAAGAAAGAAATGGTTAATCTAGTTAAAATTATAATTATTATAATTATTATAATTTTTTATTTTCCGGTTTAGTCTACTTAGTCTAGTACGCTGTTCTCTTCACATGTTGTAGCGTATTGTTGCGTTCCGAAACTAACATTTCTATCTCAGGTTTCGAAAGTTTCGAATCACAAAAATAGTGTGAGGTTTCGAGTTCTCGAAACTTGAAACTTTTTAAAATTTCGAAAGATTCTAAGATTTCGAGTATCTCATCCCTAGTTTTTAGTAGTTCCAGTCTTTTAGTGGAATAGTCAGTAAATTTCATATCTTACTAACAAACATAGTAAGTCTTGTTAGAAATGCAGCAACAGTATATTATTTTAACAGTGTACATTTCCGTTTTTAAAATATAAGCAGTATATATAAAATAAAAGAATAGTGGATTATATAGTTTCTCTTCTTTCTTCTAGTCAGAGTTAGAACTAAAGCATAATGATCCTGATTGGTCTGCATTCTATTCGTCATTTTTAGAAATGACGTGAGTAGGAGTGAGTAGAAAACTCTAATAAGTAAGAGAAAAACTCTGAAATTGAAATGACAAAGAACTATATCTATAGCTTTTCTCTCACTCACTCACTCGCTCATTTATTTACTCACTTTCTCCCTATAAATGGCAGACGATATTCTAATTTTGACTCGAGGAACTTTAATGAATCGCTGCAGAATGTCGATCTATTCCCGGCTACAAAATCCTATAGTAATTTTTTCTATAAAACTCTTTCTCAGAGTAGCGCAAATATTTTATATTGTTTTGCTCTTCTACAAAAAATAGCAGCAAAAATAAATATACAAGGTTATTATCACTAGTGTATCATTGATATTGTAGTAGTTATTATCACTAACACTATTTGTGACTATAATCCCATGATATAGCTATCATTACTAATATTACTTGTGACTATAATTGCGTACACTAAGAGTCGAATGTTCCAACTTCTTGGTAAGTTAACTGATAGTTAAATCATATGTGTGCTTTTGTCTAAGTTGGAAGAGAAACAAAGACAGACATATGATTTAATCATCAGTTAACTTACCAAAAAGTTGGAACAACCAGTCCTAAGAGGAAATAATAGTTGATCCAACTAAAATTATTGTTTTTTTGGTTACAGCCATATTTTTGGTTACTCTAATACGAGAATAATAGTAATAACATAAATATAAAGTTATTATAACATTATAGTAAATTTTAGTAAAAAATTGTTTTTTACTATAATTTATAATAATTATTTCTTTATGCGGTTATAGTTACAAATACTAAAGTATTTTTTTCTCAGCGTGTTGTAACTATCATTACTAAAACTATTTGTGACTATAATTGCATAGTGAAGTAATTATAGGGAAAGAAATGATTATAAACATCTTACTATGCAATTGGTCACAAAGAACTAGAAATATTTTTCTTGATACACACACGTGCATACTCACTTATGCTCATAGAGATATTAGAAAACGTCACGATATTCTGAGAAAATAAGGAATGAGAGGAGGATGGACGGGAGGGTGGCACGTCGCCCCCCGAAGGGTGAGAAGGACGCCCCGTGGGCGCGCGGCGACGGCGGCGACGGCGGCGGATCTGCCGAAAGCTCGGCCATACGTACAGGCAGGCGTCGACGCACACACGTATAAAGGCCGGCGTCGCGGCGCCCTCGGCGTCATTCCCGCGCAGACACCAAAGCCACGGTGCCCGGTCGGCGTCGGTGACTCACGGAGGAGCCGTATCGCATCCTCGCAGTCACGTGAAAACGCACGCACGCACGTACGTACGTACGTACGGACGAGCAAACGGACGGAAGAAAGGAAGAGAGGAAGGAAGAAACGCTGTCTCGCACACTCACGGAAAATCTTATCCTCATCGGAAAGCGAAGAAAATAAAAGAAAAAGAAAGCAAACACGCGTATGAGGAGCGACGCCCGTTTCTGCCGCAGCATCTTCTCCACGTCTCTCTTTTTTTGGCACCTGCCTGTCCGGCAGAACCGCAGGATCGTGCCGAGAATTCCTCAGCAACAGGTGAGCAGTCGAACCGTTCGTCCGCGTCTTCTGTTCGCGCGCATTACCCTTTCTTCGCGTTCTTTTGTCTTCATTACCCCTACGTGGTGTCATCCTGTTTTGTCTCCTTCCTGCTCTCGTTGCGATTACTTGCGGCACAGTTGTACTTCTCTACGCGACTGGCGACAGTTCTGTTCCTTCTTTTCGCCTCGGCTGTCCTTCATTTGACATTACGCGGTAATCGGTTTGGAGTTTCACCTGTCCAGTGTTTTCATAACCTATTTTTATCCTGAGTGATTTCGAGCTAAATGCTCAAAATTGAACTGAACGACGGAAAAAAAACTTCGAACTTTGAGTGGCGATACGTTGCGGATCCTATGAAATGTGTACATCAATAGTGGGTGACGTGAACGCGAAAAGAGCTCGTCGAGTGCGATCGAATTGTCATGTATTTCAGATAGTAGTGAACGCGCCTTATGTTCTTCGTATACACACATGCGATTTTATTAATGTCTGGACATTTACTAGATATTCTGGACTAGCCGTGTCTCTTTCTACATATACATTCATCATAACTGTCGAGTATCCGAGGAATCGGGGACGATGTTCGAAAACAGCCGCGATAGTTTGACAGTTTGAGGTTCAGTTTGTGTAAGATAACGTTTCGTTCGCGTTATGAATAATCAGCAGAAAGATGAAGAATAGGTAGAACCGTTACAAAAAGAAGAAGAGTGAGGGGACTGAAAAAGTAAGTCTATTATTCTTTCACGTAATTACGCGTAACGTATGAGCGACCGGAAAATATTAACTTACGCGAACTAAACTTTAAATTGTCAGATTATCGTGGCTTCTTTCGAATATTGTTCCCGTTGTTATTGAATATTGATTTTTTGGGTACTCTACAGTCACGATGTACGAATACATACGTAGAAAGAAACACGGTTAGCCAAAATACCTAGTTATTCTAAACTGAGATTACATTCCAAAACGTCCTTCTTGATGAAAATTTTACTCAATATAGTTATATACACTCAGTTATATACTCAATATACACGTTATATATACTATAGAGTATTGAATAAAATTTTCCTCAAAAAGGACGTTTTAGAATGCAATCCTAGTAAATATATTCGAGCATTATTGAAGTCTCATGTACACGATGGTTCACATTGCACCTTTCTTCTTTGATGCGTGAGGCACCTCATCGCAGTCCTCATCACGGCTCACTTCTCATCCCGTCTTTCCGGGTTAAATTTCTTTTCAATCTCTCCCAAGCCGATTATACATCCCAGTCTGTTAGATATTTATTCGTACAAGAGCGGACATTATTGGATTTAACGACATTATTTTTAAAATTTCATACGGAACGGCTCCATTAAAAAGATTAATTCGATCGGTAGGAAATAGATGATATGCTGCGAGTGATGACATTACGCTGCTTTGAAACCGCGAAGAGCATTTCGATCGAGCAACTCGCATTGGGTGCCCTTAAATCTCAATGAGCGTCAGTTCTTTGACGTCAGCTTGTTACTTGCAGGCATTTCTTTTAAGATAGTAGCAACAGGTGAGCATGTTTTAAGAGCTCCAACTTTTAACGAGATCGTTACGCGAAGTTTTTTTTACATCTTGGTCGTGTTACGTTAATTATGGTAACTTGTTTCAACGTACACAGAGTAAATGAAGGAGAGTCAGAAATTTAATACTAATAAATGATTATTTAGCCAGTGATAATTAATGTTGTTCAATAAATTTATTACTCGTACGAGTAATAATATTACTATTTATTACTGGCCAATTTATTACAGCCAGTAATACTTTTCTATAGGGGAAGCGCATACTTATACTTTAATTTAATTTCTTATACAACAAAAAAACAGTTTAGTTAAATAATGTTTCTAAATTTTCACTAAATTTAATTAAATAATTTACTAGTGAAAAATAGTGCAAAATCTAAACAAAAAAAAATAAATGTATATACATTGACAGCCAAATGTGTTGTCCGCTATTTTTTGTGTCAGTATCGAAGTGCATCGTCTTGCCCAATGAGAGAATTTGTTTTCCAGTTAAAGAATTCTCCCATAGAACCGGACTGACGTGTTTCAGGAGTCACATAAAAAATAGTAAACAACAAATTTAGCTGCGTATAGTATAGCGTATAGTGTGTATAGTCGCAGACAAAAAAATCGTCCGTAATTTTCGAGGTGAGTTTGTTAATTTTCTATTTTATCCATTAAGAGAGTTTCTCTATTAGAAAATGAATTCTCCCATTGGACACAATGGATGCTTTCTAGAACTCACGTAAAAAAATAGCAGACAATCTATCTGACTGTGAATGTACATTAAGTTTTAACAAAATCTTAGCATTTGTTACGTCACAATTAAATGTGACATGATTTCTAATCGTTTGCATCATGTTTAGATATAACGATATGATATGTCAAACTGTCAAAATGTCAGATTGGCCGAATAATATCAACAGTCACAATGTATATGCGCATATTTTGACATGATGGGGCCGAAGAGAAATCACTAGTGAATTGTAATGTACACTGAAAAAAGACTGCTAATTATTACAAAATGTATTTACAGAATTTAAGTAAATCTAGTCTAATATCAAATATGATAATAATAATCAAATACATAATAGATTTGATGTACGAAAGACTTTTAATCACAGTTAAATGAACTAAAGATTTAGTAATAGTTACCAAATATTTAACACTTATTACTAAGTATTTGATGACTATTATCGAATATTTGGTAAGTGTTATGAAATCATTCAATTCTGTTTGGAAATATTTGGTAACTATTGATATTTATCTTGTTAAGGCAACGAAATATTTGCTGACTATCAACTGTACTTATATTAATATATATCACTTACTGATATTCGTCGTATATCGACGAATATCGATTATTGTTGAGTTGTTTCCAATATTTGCTAGTAAATATGGCATTGCCAGGTTTCTTGATACTTATAAGGATATATTATAAGCGTGAGTACAAATATATCGTTGTAGCTCGTAAAACTCAACACACTGAAAAAAAAGATTACAACGATTTGTTAATAATTGTCCAGCCTGTGTTATAGGTACTAAAATTTAGTACATCAAATTATCGTAATCTTTTTTTTCAGTGTAGTTCCTGTTCATGAGCTAAAACATCGGGTGAGAGGGTCTGAGAAAGCATGGGCGATAGGCGAACTATACTATAGGAAACTATAGATAACTGCTATAAGAAACTATACAGACAGATAAAAACGTGGATATAAAAAAATAAAAAAAAATTCTTAAAATAATATGATGAGGTTTTTTAAATAAAATAAAAAAATTACCTAAAACAATTTTCATCTTGGCTTTAATAATAGTTATCAAGTACCTCATTTTCTATTACCAAGATTTGGTATTAACTTCCAGAATCTAATTTAATGATCTAAATGTATAGTTCAAACAACTAAATCTTAGTTCTGACAAAACTATATATTTGCTTTATATAATTAAATTATTTCCTAATTATTACTTTATACTTGGCCCGCATTATTAGACTGAATAATTTAATAACTACCAAATTTTGGTATTTATTACGAAATCCTTCTTTCAGTGTAGCAAATGTTGAGGTTTTATTAAAGCTTGATGAATGTGTGTGTGTGTGTGTGTGTGTTATGTTCACGATAATATCCGAACACAAAAGTAATAAAAGTTACCAAAAATGGCGCTCAACGCAGCTGCCACGTTATCGCGTGTTTCATATCGTGTGTTTCATCTTTTTATAAGTTTCGCCGGGTTTAATATCTTCTCGCAATTTATTATTCCCACGAATCGCTGCGTTCGACATATCGAGAGGAAAATATGCTACATTATAGTATCGTATACATGCTAAATTATAGAAACGACAAAATTACAACACGAATCAATATAAATTTCGCCGAAACTTTGCATAATAGCTATTGTTTTAACTGTTATTTCCACCATCGTTGTTTCCTATACAGTTTACAGTTTCGATACGATATTTATCTTTTATAAAAGATAAATATCGACTGCAGCTTTTATAAAGTCTCTTTCCATAAATAATTACGATTGCGTGGGTTATTCGTCGTGAGTGTAAAGCGTAATCGCAGAGACCAATATGGATATTTTAGATTCATTCGTATTCAGAGCCCATTGTTTCTTATAATTCCGACCAAGAACTCGCTATCGCCTTTTGTCACGTTCCTCTCGATGATGAGAGCTGCAGAAAACAATTCCCGCGAAAAGCCAACCGCGAGATTCCTTTTTGACCGGGAAAAGGCGAGAAACGAAAACTTCACCGATAATCTAGCGGCGTTGTGATCGCGTAACTTCCTGTAGCGCGAAGTTCAGTTCGAGAAGATTTACGTGATTTGCATTTTATCGCGGAAAATTATGCTCCAATCTTCATTAATTCACAATTAAAAATGCATGTAGTCATTTGCAAAATGACTTTCTTTCAGTTTGATCTATTCTTTTAAGATAAATCAGTAAAAATGTTTCTTCAATCAGTGAAAGGAGTATTTCACCGGCAAGTAAATGATTTATTGATTTTCAGTGAAAACACTCCCACCTTATCCACCTTTCCATCTTATGTCTCATTGATTTTAATCAGTGGAAGTAAGATTTTACTGTAAAATATGTAGTATACAAGTGTGTTGTACTTTGTACTAAATTCAGCTTTTTATAGCGATGGAATTAATGACATGTGATTTGCATGCAATGATACTATTTGTAATTACAAACTATATCAATAATAGGAACAATCGCCACTATCAACTGATTCTTTCAACGAAATTTTACTGATTGCAGTACTATACTTATAACTAAGCCATCAGTTATAAGTATAGCATTTCAATGAAAAATACATTGATTGTACTTTGGAAAGTAATATATAAGCACACGACGGCAGACATCGTTGTCATAGCTACTATATCGCGCGTAATCGTTTATCAATCTTTTTTGTTCAACTAGAACACCACATAGCGCGCGCTTCACGCCATTTTAGCCTCTTCG